ATAATCTTTAATAGTTTCCTTTTTTGTGTTTATTATTTAATCAGTGCAATAATGTATCTCAAAAGCAACTTCCTCTCCATCTTTATCTCCTTGTTATGCCGAAAAGTATCTGTGGAATTCCTTTGGCATCCCATCTCATCTCATCTCCGTCGCCATCTCATCTCATCGTCGCTTACCTTAGGCATATAGGTTTTTAACAAGGTGCGATAAACAAGGAATTAATGCCCTGGCACGATGACAGCCCCGCACAGTGAGCGCCGGAATTAAATTCCACATAGCGCTCGGCGGGCGCCGTCTCCACCGATTCTCTCTCTCAAGAAAAAAAAATAATAATAATGCTAAGGCTGGGAATAAGGGTTACCTCTTGGTGAGGGGGAACAATTCATAATTGTCATTTATTTATTGCTCAGATATTGCGAGCTTGATTTTACGGGCGCTTATTAAAATGAATTTTTCAACACACACACAGACACATCTCCGCCATCTGATAAGGCCATTTGATCGAAAGCTTCGATATGTGTGTGTGTGCTATCGCCCCTTGCCCTTGTCCACTCTTTTTTCCCCTCCGTCCCACTGTGGCGTGTGTTTTTATTACAACTGAGCGCCACCCGCTGCGCAGGCGTGTAACTTTTTTTTTACGATGCTGTTTTCGCCGTTCGCTTTGAACCGTTGTCCTTCGGGGGTCTTCTTTTGCCTTTTGTCTTTTGTCTAGAGCGGGTGGCTATGGCGGTCTCTTTTACACCAAGGTGATATTACAAGGTGCACTGAGAAAAATAGTTACTGAGTTCTTTAAGTTTATTTATAATATATAAACCTAAATAAACGTGTACCTTGGTATCCAGTTTTTGATTAGAAATTTTTATATAGATTCATTCTTGTATTATTTTCTTTTTAAAATCTTTCGGTTAACCCTGATTTCTCTGAGTGCCCTCTATTTTGCAATTTGTTTACCCCTCCCAGTGTTCACACCATTAAGAGATTGGCCCAACGAGAAGCTGTTTTGTTCTCTTCTGGCGTTCAAATTAATAGGCAGCCCAAGAGCATAAGGATCTATGATTAATGAGGCGCGACTATCGCAGCATTAATGCTGTCAATATATCACAATGTGTACAACACACACACACACACACACACACATCGGTTAACCGATTACCGAGCCCCGATCGCAAAAGGTGCCATTGTTGTTGGCATTATCCATAATCCCAATACCACCGATGGCATCGCGTGTGAGCATCGTGGACATCGCGTGAGTAATCAGCGGCATGTGGGTAATGATGATCTCCACTGCCGCCTGAAGGATCCTGCCACCAAACTAAAAAAAAAAAAATGAAAAATTAAAAACAAAAGGCAATGCCAACTCACTCTAGCCACTTTGCAACATGTTGCTTGCTTCATGCAACATCTGCGCCGTTGTCCAACTCAAACCTGTTGTTCTATTTTATCGCATGCGAGAGGGGCCTAATAAGCAGATGGACAAGCGGGGTGAAATCCACCCCCAAAGGAGAGCGAGCTTATTGGTGTGACCAGTTTTGAAATAACTTTGAATTGAGTATTTAATTTTCGAAAAAATCTTAACACTTTATTATAAAAAAATTAATTTAATGAAATTTCAATTCAATTATTTATTAATTTTTACGAATTATGAAATCGGATGTATATTTTTTATATAATAATTAGTTTTCAAAAATGTTAAGCGCATAAAACAATCAACAATTTCGCCATTTAAAAAAATATATCTCTAAGAAAATATATGTATAAATATATTTTCCTTAGCTTTTCTTAGTTCTTAAATGGTCACTCTATTTAACTTAAATTAACGCTAAAAATGTTTACTGGTCAACTGAAAAAGCAACCCCCAAAATAATGTGCAATTCTCTCATTCTTGTTGATAGCCAAAGAGTAAGCCATAAGAAAGCATAATTATAGCATGCTAGTTTTGGCATAGACCGTTAGTTTTCGCTCTTTCGCTGTTGGTGCTTCCGCATAAAACTGGAAAGAGCATAAGGCTTTTTCTCTTTTATATATTTCTTCTGTGGCCAGTGGGCAGCGCGGTCAACGTCGCTGCTCGAAGCTCCTGTTGCAATCAAGTCGCTCTCATTGCGCTTTTGTTGTTGTTTTAAGTTCTTCCTCTTTGCCAGTTTGTTCCTCTTTACACTCGTCTTCCTCCTGCTTCTTCTTGTTATTAGCCTCAAGTGGTGGGCCCCCCCGCCCCCGCCTCACCTGTCCCACAAAACTGGCCGGTCTCCAGAGTCTCCAGAGCATATTTGTTCCAATAAGAAAAGCCCATGCTCTGCTTCGGCTGGCAGAGGCAGCAGCAGCAGCAGCAGCAGCGACAGCGACTGAGAAATATATCGGAATTGTCGGCCAGTTTCGCATCGCATTTTGTTGGGTTCGCAACAACAAAACATAATAAACCGCAGAGTCGCGAATCGGAATTAAATTGAATCGAAAAACTAACAAATCGAAATCGAGTTTTGACTTAATTAAACAATAACATAAAAACAAAGCCATTTAAAAAGCCATTAACCAAGGAAATGTGAAGTTAATTATGCAAATGCAAACTATAAATAACACGAGTTTAGTGCGTGCGAGCTTTAACACTGTGGTTGACCACCCCTAACGGTTTTTATATAGTTTATGTTTTGTTGCCCTCTTCTGTTCTATTTCATTCTTTTTTTTTTTGGTGGGGAAAACACCACCTTGTTTGCGGTGAAATGTTGAAGAAAAACGTTTTCCGCCGTTCCGTTCATTTGAGCCTTTTAAGCCGTTTAGGCCAAGGATCTGCCGGCAAGTCTGAAGGAATAGACGAAAAACGAACCCCCTTTTTGGCTTAGCCTTCTAGAGTGGAAGGGGGTCTTAAAGTATGGGTTTCCGTTAGGTTTTATTTTTGCCTTCAGGGGGATGGTCAAGTGATTCATAAATAGATGTAAAAGTTATGGGCACAGTGAGCACCGCATTAAAGGCAACAGCAGGATAAGATATTAATATACTAGGGCTTTAATTAAGTGAAAGTGTTAAACATTTTTAAGTTAATCGTTTCTGCTCGAACGAACAAATATGCTTTAGCTCTGCGGTCACCTATCACCTCTTAATAATTAACTGTTCTTCGTAAGCTTTTCTTTATCTTTTGCTAAAAGAAACAAACTTATTAAAAGCTCTCACAGTAAGCCCAACTAAGTTAATTTACCGTTCATCAGCTTCCATGATCGCCGTTCATTTTGACTTCAAATTCAAAAACTCTCCAGTCTCCAATTGAAAAGTTTACAATTCTCCGCTCAAAGCCCCATTTACTCTTTGGCATGACACACACGTGTTGTTGGCCCTTCGGCCTTCTCTTAGACCACCTTACTCTCTCTGTGCGCAGTCTCTGGCTTTCACTGCTCTCCACTCCTGTCGCTCTGCAAGTCTCGCGGCTTCTCGCAGTCTCTCTGGCGAGAGTCTCACCGTTATAAAAGCGCAGCTCGCAGCGGCTGCTTGGTGCTTGTTCTTCCACGCGCTTTTGACACTTGTGACATTTTTGACACACAAATCAATTGTTACGTGAATTTTCAGCGCTGCAGCAGCAGAGGCAGCAGCGACCAGCGACATCGGGTAAACGCTCCGAAATAAATCAAAATTGATTTTTGTTAAATCTTTAACAACCAATACTAAAATCTCAACCACAAAAAATGCAAGCAAATTTTTTAAGCTTACGCGAAATATAAATATAATTTATTGTGAGATTTTCGTGTGGCAAGCCGCAAATCGTTGCCTACTTTCGTGCGCTGCGCGTGTGTGTGACATAATTTGGCGAGAACTTTAATTTTAAGGATTCCCTCGACAGAACAGCAGAGCCTCGCTATCGTGACCTCAGAGTGCATAACACACACACACACAGACACACACACGACACGCCAGCACAGAACCCCCTTTTTGGGGGCCTTCTTTCTGCTGCAAATCGATTTCTGTTTCCGGCATTTTTCACGTGGCTGCTGCTGTCCCCCCTTACACTGAGAAAAAAGAGCTAGATTTCTGTATAAAATTAAAAAAAAAGAAGAAATATGAGGATTTATTAGAAACTATAATAATATAACTTCCTTTTAGGATTATAATTCCCTGAACTTTTGGCTTTAGGTTTAAATTTACTGTTTATTTTGATAGTAGAAACTTGAAGCATTTATAAGACGAAATTAGTATTATTTTAACCATTTTTTATTTGAGAATATATAGTTTAAATTGCCTATATTTCAGGCTAATACTTATACCTTATTAAAGACCTTTTTTAAGGGCCTTAAGTAACTTCTTATATGAAATATAAATAATTTTAAAAGTCTTTGCCTTTCAAAACTTATTTTAATAATAATAATTAATAATAAAGTAATCAAAAAATTACTTTGGTAGTCTTAAGACATTCTACAAAGATTTGTGAAATTTCTCTCAGTGCTTCTTTCGTATGTTTCGTGCAGTTTTGGCATTTTGCTGCCATTTCCCGCTGTTGTTGCCGCCTAACGATTTTTCCCAGCAAACAACACGGCAAAACTCAACTGAAACGTGTCAGAGGCCAAGAGGGAAAGCCAGGGAAAACGAGCCAGAGAACAACATTAACATTTAGGTGGCTGAATGTACGGCCGTAAATCGGCAATCGTAAACAGTTTTCGCCGCAGCTGAAAGTAACAGTCAGCCTGGTTTATCGGAATCGTTTTTGATTTCCTGCCTCTGGCCTGTATTCCGTATATATTCGAATATTTTCGTACATTTGTACATTTCCCATTCTCTCTGTGTGTGTGTGTGTGTGTGCTCTGCTTCAGTCCATTTCCCATTTCCCTTTTCGGGGGTTTTCCTCTGGACTGTGCTGTGCCTTCGGTCTCGGTCTCGGTTTCGGTTTCAATTTCAGTTTAGTCAGTCAGCTGCTGCTTTTCACGTGGCACGTGTCGTATGAGTAATATTTATATCTCTCATTTTTTGGCTTCACTTTCTCGCCTGCAGTCGCCTCTCTCTCTCTCTCACACACACACAGACACACCATTAATAAATAAATTAATAACAATTAATAAAAATGCTTGAAACAATAATCAAAGACTGTTCAATTGATATCAACGTAAAACGCTAATTAAACAAAAGTGCTTAAGAAAATCCATCGCAATCGCAAAGTGTTCAAAATTCTAAATACTACAAAATATATAAATATATTATATTGATACATAATCGAAAAAGTATATATAAAGGAAGAGAAACTGAATAATTGGCCATCGATTCTAAATGTTCGACTGGATTGAATTTAACAAAGAAGCGTAGACGAAATACGAATGCAAATTAGATGCAAAATAAATGGGTAAAATGAGGTCAAGTAAATACGATGTAAGTATGACTTTTTTGGTTATTTATATTGTTTAAGGTTAAAATTAGGTATTATAATGAATAGAAAAGAAGTTTAAATTATAATTAAGGGATTATTGTGAAAATTCTAAGACTTAGGACTACTTGGAAGGTTAATATTCGCATTCTTTGAACCGATATTTTTATATGGCATTTTTTTCAAAAAATCAAAGTTTAAAAAACTCTTAACTAAGCCAAAAATTCATTAATTTTAATACGGAAAGCAGTCCAAAGTTAGTTTTTATTAGGTTAACAAATCTGCATACTCAATAAAGAATTTCAGAAAATTCAATTTTTTATCGATTTTTTTTTAATTTTAATGATATAACCCCTTATAAAATTTGGAAAAAATTGATCAAAATTTTTTTCCTCTAAAACATGCCTAGATAGATTCCCCTGTTGATGCTGATTAAGAATATATATGATTTATGGGGTCGGAAATGACTCCTTCACTTTCTTTTAAGCTTCTGACTGAAGGGGAAATACCATTTTTAGTCGATATTAACTATATTTTTATATGCAAATTTTACTATAAATCAAAATTTAAAAAACTCATAACTAAGCTAAAAATGCATTCATTTTAATTCTTAAAGCGTTGGTATATTAATTTTTAGCAGGTTAATAAAACTGCATACTCAGTTTAAAATGTGAATTTTGGCCGATTTTTGAACATTTTAATGATGTAACCCCTTTCCTTTTTTTTTTTTAAAAAATGGGAAATTTCTGAAAAAAAATTTTTTTCGCCCGGATATATCTGAAAACATATCCCTGTTGATGCTGATCAAGAATATATATGATTTATGGGGTCGGAAATGAGTCCTTCACATCGTTATGAGCTTTAGACTAAAATTGTGATACCCTGCAAAGTTATAAATATTCTTAAAAATACAACAAATTCATGTTTTCTTTAAATTCCTTTCCCTTCTTCACCTCACTTACTTAAGTTTATAAATATTCCCCAGAATCTACTTTCACTAACTCCCCTGAAATTGGCCATCAATCTTGGTCAATGGTCCAGGAAGCCCTCGGACCGAACCCAATTGAAGGTTACAGACTTCTCCCCCAACAGACTTCAGACTCTCCCCCATCCAGGTGGGCATCGAACCAAACGGAAAAATTTACATAATCACTTAACTCATGGCCCACATTTTAGGCGATTATCGGGCCAAGACAAGAAACAAAGCCCCAGACAGACTCGACTGGCACATAAATTAAGTGCAAAAACGGAAAACGGACGAGCTGTCTGCCCTTAATCTTGAATTACAAATCGAGTGCAATTATCTGACGGCTGCAATGAGTCTTTGGACTGCAAGTTGGAGCTCGGCCTCCCATTCTCTGATTCTCCGATTCTGATTCCCCTTGGGGCCTCTTAGCAATTTGTTTTCACACTTTACGATTTGCATGGCCAGGCGGATCGGTGTTTTCGATAAGCCGGGACAAGGAGCCCCTCAGGTTTGGTTTTTGGTTTAAACTCAGGCTTTGGCTTTGGCTTGGCTTAGTTTCTTGGCCAGAACCAGGCCAGAACTGTGTCTAGCTTCTGGAATAGTATGCTCCTCTTGGCGCTACTGTTGTGTGTGCCTCTTTAAATTTTGCATTTAATTGATTTGTCAACACAAATGTCCATTGGCGGCTTCCTGGGCCACTAAGCCGCTTACTGGAGACCGGAGACCTGGCCTAAACACACAAGTTATGCCGGCATAAATTGCCGACTTTAGTCTTGAAATAAAAAAACGAAAGTCGAGTGCTGCTGGCCGAGGGCCAAACGTGGCTCAAAACGAGACTTCAAAGGCCTTTTCGGCGCATCCGGCGCATTGCTAACTGCAATCATCAATCAAAATGTATATAAAAACGCTCGAAGTTCCCCCTGCTTTCAATGGTCTACTAAAAGTTGCCAACTCATCACTGCAAATGCTCCCTGATTTGGATCGGGACTCAAAAAGGCTATCCAGAGCTCCCCTTCTGTGTGGGCGCTGGCAACGTGCTTGGACTCTTGATTCTCAATGGGATGCACTCTTTAGAGGGGGGATTTGGGGATGGGACTGGAGATTGGCACACTGGAATGGGGTCTTCATAATATTTAGACCTTCTTTGATCATGATTTATTGGGATTAAAGTATATTAAAGGATAATTAAGCTTTTAAAGCGTTAAAGATAGGGAGATATTTTGGCTGGCTTTATTTTTTTAGGGCAGGATTACATCATTCTTTTAAGTACAGTATAAATAGTAATATATTCAGTTAACTAATTTATTGCTTATTAATTTTTAGGGAAATTTCCTTGGTTCTTCACCATATTTTAACCTTTTTGGTCATCTGTTCTAGGGTTTAAGTGCTTTAAATCAATTGTTCTCTGGAAAACATTAATCACGAAGAAGTCTTTAAAGTTAGCTTAGCTAATTTTTGATGCAGTATTGAAGCAATATTTTAGGCTTGAGTTTATATTTTTAAGTTTAGTTTTCTTTTTTATTTAAAAAGTAAATAACAACTTCATTTTTATCCATATTTTCCTGCCTTCTTCCACTGTACCTTCATCATTGTCCGCTGACACTTGGCGACATTCTTGATTTCTCCCTTGATTTTTTAGGTAGCGCCACAACGTTCTTTCCTGAATCTGAATTATGTTGTCAGTTTCCCTCCGAGCTCTTTGTTGTGTGTATTTTTTATATCCCCAGCTCCCTGGTGGCTTTGTCTTTTGACTTTCTGGCTTTCTTGCAAAATGCGAACACGCGCCCCAAAAAGCACGTGGGCGGAAAATATCTGCCGCCGGTTTGCGTCTTTTATTTTATTCAGTTTTTTATTAATATTATTTTTGCTTATTTTTTTTCTGTGCCGGCGCTTATTAATTGTGTGCGAATGTTTGCACAATTTGTCAATATTATCGCACAAAACATGACCATTGGCAGGGAGCGCCCCCGCATAACCGCAGCCTCTCGTGGCCCCCATTTTTTTAACATCTTGTTCAGCTACCAAAAAGAGTTTGGCTAAGTGATTTGTGATTTATGAATTCACTCGATTTTTGCCAGAATGTGTAATGGGATGTGGCAGACGGAGGTTTGCCACCTCAATGTATATGCAGAGGGGGAAATTATAGATATATATCTATAGGGTTCAAAATTTAGTTCAATTTTATTTTGATTTTAATGGAATTTAACCTAGAGTTTGATTTCTAATAAAGCTTGATTCATGTCTAGTTTCAAGTATAAATTGTAATTAGAGATGATGTTAAGACTTATTTAACGGTATCTTGCAGATAAAACATATATCTTTGGATACTATATATTATTTCTTTTAAATATTAAACTTTTAAGTACTGCCAGACAAACTTTGTTTTGTTATACACCTCTAACTATGGTTCAAATATTTTTGTATAACATGTATTCATTATAGTTTATAGTTTAGTGTCTAGACTATATTTTTTTATAATTTCTATATTTTCAAAATCCAAATCAATCATATTTTCTTTCCCTGTATCTATATATATGTCTCTCTATTTTCCCCTCTATCTATATCTATATCTATATCTCGGTCTCTGTGGGGCCTGAGGGGCCTGACTATTTGCTAATTTCCCTCCCCTCTTGAATGCCTGGCAATATGCTTTACGACTTTATAATGCCCAGTTAATTGGGTCAACCAGGCCTAAAGGGGGAGGAGTCGGAGTCGGAGTCGGAGTCGACATTGCCTCCTGACACCGCTCATACATATTAATGCCAAGCCAAGAGTCTTGGCCAAGCTGGTAGCCAACTGGGTGTTGTTACAAACTGGGCTAAAAAGGCCCACGACCAAAAAAAAGCTGAATGAAAATGGGAATGGGAATGGGAACGGGAGCTGCATTGAGTGGGAGTCTTTGGAGCCTTGATTGGTGGCTCCTGTCGGGAATTGTCACATCAGCCATTTAATTTCCTCAAGAAACAGGAAATGAAATTTAGGAAAAGAAGTTTTGCAGGTCAAGAAAAATGTATATACAAAACCACAAAGTAAACTAAGTCTCTTTAAATAATTTCCCACCACCAATTTTCCATTATCTAATGCAATTTGACATTATTTTGAAGCAATTTGCTGTTAATTTCCAAATTAAGTGTCTCATGTTAAGGGGGCGTTAACTTTGGTACTCCTTCGACTTAATAGAAAGCGAAAACTCGACAATTTTCCACAACTACCGCAACTAAAGGCTGCTAAGCCGCGAAAGTAAATAATCCAATTATCGCACACATGCGCGCCCATAGCATAAATAAAATCATTTGATAAGACAAGCCATAGGAGACCGAAGATTGTGGCTCCAAAGAGCGAAGACTGGAGACTGAAAAGCCTGAAGACTCTGAAGACTGAAGACTGGGGATTGAGGAGACTGAAGACTGGGGAAGAGACTGTAGTAAAGACTCGTAGTTAGCCGGGGAAATTGCATAAACATGTTTGGTTGCCGCTCACCACTGAGGAAGTAAGTCAGTCAGATGAGAGTCGACTTTGCATTTGAAATATGTTGCATTAATATGCCGATAAATATTTGCCGCCATCGTGCGACTCTCTTCGGATCTCCGACTCTATACTATATGCAGCTATATAGCACTGGCCAACAACTCAATTAGATGTGGCATAGCCGGAGGGGAGAGCTGCTGTTGCTGTTGCTGAAATTAAATGGCATAAAATATTTCCACGAATGATCATCAGCCGATCCTGGTTACAATCGTGATCATCATGGGCAGACTTTGTGCAACTTTGTCGCCTCCAGAGGGGAGTTTCCTGGGATTTTGAGGGGTTTTCTCGAGGGGTATATTAGGCAGAAGGGAAATCTTTTTCTATAATATATAGTTTTCAATATAAATCTTTGAAAGAAAGAAAGTAAACTAACCCTGGGTGGAGGAAGCTTAAAAACCTTTGCAGTTAAAAATTGAATTATGTGATGTAATCGGAAATCGATGATAACTTTTAACAATTATTCATATTTTTATATGAACATGTGTTTTACAAGTTAAAAATGCACTAATT